AACTAGATTTTGATCCCGCGGCAAGCGCGAAATTAAATAATTAAATAGTTTGACTAATCGATTTTAATATATATATATATATATTTTTATATTTAAACATATGATAAAGTATATAATTTATAATATCTATAAACGTACACAAATATATGTATTGTGCATAAATATTATAAAATTCAATAACTTTGATCAAATATATGTTAATGTAATTTGTTTAAATATTTTTATGTGTAAAATTAATCAAAATAAATGTAAATATTTTAGTGTAAAATTGATCTTCATTATTCGTATAAATTATAGAGAATACGATAAATATGATAAAGTTTAGATTTATATAAATTTATTGGATAGAACAAAAAAACAATATATGTTTTCTAATAATGAAATGTATAGATATTTGTATGTGTGATTAAATATGTAGACTACATCATAATAAATTTATTTGTATAATGTACTAATCTATATATATAAATATGATAATAAAAACTTGTTAATGTATAAAAAAGATAATAAAAAATAGATGATATGGTAAGTATAAAATGTTACATTTAGTTGGATTTATATTTTTAAAACATGTATTAATTGGTATATGTTAAAAATTAATAAAAATATGTAGAGATTTTCACCATGGCATATAATTTTAAATGAAATATTTTGATTAGTTTATTTAAAAGAAGTGTCTCTTGAATTGCTCTTTATGCGATAAATAAGATTTTATCTTTAGTGTATCCTCGATTAGTATATAGCCCTACTTATTCCCCTACGACTCTTAATATGTTTTAATACCTCGTGACTAGTTGTCGACGCGTGCGGGTCACGCAAGTTTGTCTATAATGTATGTGGTTTATATTGCATTTGTTGCCATTGACTTTCTGGGTTTGAAGTTGGAGACTTGAAAAGATAAGGTCCAAACATGCTCGGTGACTTTCAATAATTTATTGCTCTTCCACATGACGATAGTCATGCATGTGACCAGGGCGGTCCGGAAATTTTGGAGGCCAAAGCAAACACTAATAAAAATTTGGTTTTTTGTAATTATTAAAAAAAAAACTAAAATATAAAATTTTTAAAATATGGGGTCTTTTGTAAAAGAAAAAAATTGGGGCCATTTGTTAAAATTGATAAACTAGTTTTTTCTGGAAACCCAAAGCCCATGCTTCCCTGGCCTCTCCTCAGGTCCGGCCCTGCATGTGACCAATGCATCTCGAAACCACTTTTACCAAGTCTAAAGAATTTGGATCCTTTCGATCGAGTAAAGGCAGATACAAAACCTTTGTTTTCGAGACAAAAATGAACTAATTTGAAGGCTTTATTGATGAGGGTAGTGTGTCTAGCTATACCTACTGTTAGCCATGAGCATTTT